TCATGATCCTAATTACGAGGCTTTGTTTCCCCTGAAAATGGAATCCTGTTTCTGAGACACAAATATACTAGGGTGAGTCAGCAAACATCATCCTCAACATTATTTCCCTAGTCATGTCAAGCTCATAGATAAGAAAATATGTCAACTTCATTTTCCATAAGCTGGAGTTGTCTAGAGTAATATAGAGAAGCATCTATTATGATGATGAATGGTGTGGTTTTTTTCTAGGTGCCATCAGAGGCTTTTTAATTTTATTTGGGGGATAAATGGGTATTAAGTGTTTAATCAAATTTGAGAAATGTTTAAAGGAACTCATTTTTTCAGAGATCTTTTTCAAGTTTTACTTTCGACCAGGCTTAATCCATAACCAAATACCATTGCTGAATACAAACCTGAAATACTGGTTTCTGATATTTGGAAAGCTGGGCCTGGCTCTCCTTTCAGCCTACCCGTGATCCATTTGCTTTTAACCTGTGCGGTGCACGCGGCGCTGAATTAGATGTCATCGGGGGGAAAAGGTGAAATCGTCCTGCAGTAGAAGAGAGAAAACCTAAAACCAAACAAAGGGTAGCAGTCGTTTCCTGGGTCCAAACTGTCTCCTCGGGATATCAGGCATACGGGTGCCCATTTGTACCCTTCAATCGGGGGCTACTGATTATAAATGTTCTCCATCACACATTATTCGGTTTTGATTGCTATGCTAGACTATGTTGGCCCTGCTGATTTTAGCTCCTAACACTCTCCTGCTGCGCCACATCACCTAACGCTTGACCAGCTATTCTACTTATTTATTCAAAACGAGCCGAGAGCCTGGGACTGGGCCCTGCAGGCAGGCCGGGCACACAGTGGTGAGTCACCCACACGGCCGGCCCTCCTGGATCCCCAATGGGGACAATGCACAAGGAAACAAATGAACAGATAGGTAGCGTCAGTCACGGGTGGGGATGCCATCTCTACAGGGCGTTTGACAACAGGAACCTTTATGGCACTGGGTTACCCAGTATAAGCTCCACAGGAGAAGTTTGATGTAGAATTGGGTTCTAGGAAATGTTACCTGTTGTGAGAAAACGGTGAACTTCCTTCTTTGTGAAACTGAAAACCCCATCAATATACCCTTTTCCCTCTTTTGCTGTGGCTTCTGGGAAGCTTGGAGAGAACTTTGATGCTCAGTGAGAGCATGAAAGTACCTTTTCTGGCGCTGGCTGCGGTGGCTGAGGTGGTTGGGTGTTGTCCAGTGCACTAAAGAGCAGTCAGTTCAATTCGGGACACACGCTCGGGTTGCAGGCTTGATCCCCCGGAGGCAACCGATTAATGTTTTCTCTCACATCAGTGTTTTTCTCTCTTTCCCTCTAACGATCAATTTAAAGATCTATTAAAAAAAATAAAGTATCTCTTCTGGTCAGTATATTTGTGCAGCAGATGAGCCAAAGACCCCCCTGGCTCCTGCACCCCCCATCCCAAGGATGTGTTTGTAAAATAGAGGTGGTTCTGGGGCAGTCCCGGCCACACCGGGACACGAATGTTCAGGCCAGAGGAGATGTTTGAAGGGGAGTTTATAAAAGCAAGTTTTTCAGCCACATAGCTCACACCTGCACTTCCGCACAGAGCTCTCAGTAAATCGACGTTACTCTCTGGTGTCTGCCAGGAATCGGATTTGTGGTTTGGAAATGGATCCCCGTGTTGAGGCTGGCCTGGAACTGGCCATAGTGTTAGAGCAGATGCCTCATTCTGGTTATATTTGGTTCCTGACTTTTTAAAAATCTCTTTTCTGCCAAAACCGGTTTAGCTCAATGGATAGAGCGTCGGCTTGGGGACTGAAGGGACCTGGGTTCGATTCCGGTCAAGGGCATGTACCTTGGTTGCGGGCACATCCCCAGTAGGGGGTGTGCAAGAGGCAGCTGATCGATGACTCTCTCTCATCGATGTTTCTAACTCTCTATCTCTCTCCCTTCCTCTCTGTACAAAACCAATAAAATATATTAAAAAAAAAAAAAATCTCTTTTCTGCCGAAACCAGTTTGGCTCAGTGGATAGAGTGTTGGCCTGCAAACTGAAAGGTCCCAGGTTCGATTCCAGTCAAGGGCATGTATAATACCTTGGTTGCGGGCACATCCCCAGTAGAGGGCGTGCAAGAGGCAGCTGATCGATGATTCTCTCTTATCGATGTTTCTAATTCTGTATCCCTCTCTCTTCCTCTCTGTAAAAAATCAATAAAATATATATATATATATTTAAAAAATCTCTTTTCTTTTCCTAGTTCATTGATTTTATTGTACTTACATATTTTATAAATAAGAACATTGGTGATAACTGCAAACCTAAGGCAATGATAAGAATGTCTTTCAAATTCAAACCTTTGCTCTGATCTCTACCAGCAATACCCACGGACAGATGCTTAGTAGCAGGAGCTGCAGTGCCTGCCCAAGTCCCCTTTGCTTGTCCAGGACACCCACAGCCCAGGGTCTCCAAGTCTTGACTGCCGATGGCTCCCAGCTGCTCCCAGGTCAGGAGAATTTTTCTCCCTAGAGGTTACACCCTCTCTGGGTCAGGGTGGAGTGGCTTCCCTGACTAATAACTGACTAATAACACAGGTGCACAAAGGCCATCCTCTTTCCTCAGCGTGGGACCCGCTCTGCAGTACAACCTGTGCTCCAGAGCTCCCTGGATCAGACCACGTCTCTGCTCGCCGCCTCCCTCTTTTTTATTCTGTTTCTCTTTCTCCCCTTAGTTCAAGAGCGCTCCTACAATACACCATATATGCAAGATTCCCTGATCTTTGAGCTCTGCTCCGCTCTCTCTCTCTCTTGCTCACTTTTTCCCAGCTACCTCTCCACTAGCTGGTTCTCCAGCACAACAGGCTTTCTTACCTGTAAAGTGAAAAAAGACTTAAAAACAGGCATTCAAGAGCTAGTATTAACTGTTGTTAAGAGGTAGGGCCACATCCCATGACTAAAGAAATGCTGAGAAACTGAAACCTTACTGAAAGATTTCAGAGTGTCTTGTTATTCATTCTGATCGTTCTAGTCATCATGACCCAATAGATGACAGTCTGGTTGCTAAGGGATCATTCTCTCCCCTTCTCCCCCATTTCTAGGTGCAAGGCTGCCCTCTAGTGGACTCTGAATGAATGTTAATTCAGGGTAATCGGATTTGAAATAGAACTGTAGCTACATAGTGAACTGAATGATTAGTCTAAGCTTCAGTCTCAGCAAGCTTCTAGCAGTTTCTATTATCACTGGCAGCTGGACTTTCCAGTGAGGAAGATCTTAGTGGCCGAGAAGAAAATCTCTCCATATGGGATTATGCCAAGTTGTCTCTTGTTTTATGGAACTGTCTCCAGAAGTTTCCACATCCTTGGCCATTTGAAAAACTGTCTGACGGGCTTTGCCTATTGAACACATCTCTCTCTCTCACTGTTAGTCTGTAGGCAACCACTTTCAAAAATTTTGCCAAATGCATATATCAACTTTGTTGCTATTTACTTACTTAGTATTTTCCTCTTAAACATCTCACTTAAAAATATTAAATAGCATTGTGATTCACTCTAAGCATTTACATCTCTAAAATATCAGGCTAACCATGTTTGTTAAATTTTTTCCTAATCTGTATTAAAACCAAAACACAATTTATTATAAAAAAGTATTTAGTCCTGCACTATCCATGTTCGTCTGGCCCATCAGCAGTGGTCCACATGCCACACTCTGGGGAACACCACCAAAGGAATTTATGAAAATTAAAACTGAAATGCAGACGCTTCCCATGTTTTTCAGGGATTCAGATCCCAGGTAGGAGGGAGGAAAAGGCACGCTGCCATGTTTCTAATCTAAGAGCATCATTAGGAAACATGGACAAGGGTGTACCATTTCCATCTGTAAAACCACAGTGGTGGGCTGCCCAGGGCTGTCTGATGACCGGACACACCTTTGTGGAGAAATGGAGGAGGGTGAACGGACTGAGGCTGAGTTTTCAAGAAGAGAGGACGTGTAGGAAAACCTCAAAGGAAAAAAGACAGGGCATTTTCAAAGATCAGTAAGAAACGGAACAGGCTGTGTGGCTCTCGCATCCTGAGAGGAGGAGATGCGTTTGGAGGCACCCGGGCCATGTGGGTCTTAAAGTCATAAAAGAAACCTGTGTACCACTTTATGCCAACACACTTGAAAATCTAAATAAAGATAGACAATTTTTTGGACTTGAAAATCATCTCATTTTAAAAATATGAGGGCAGGGGAGAAAGGAAGGAGAGAGAGAGAGAGAGAGAGAGAGAGAGAGAGAGAGAGAGAGAGAGAGAGAGAGAGAGAGGATACATAAATAGTTCAGGTAGTAGAAATCAGGTTAATTCTAACATTTTCCCTTTTTCTTACCTTTTCCACGCCTAATGGGTCAGGCAAGGGAAACTCCTACGTACACAGCCTCTGTTGACCACTTAGGTCATGGATTTTGAGAGTTTTCTTTTGGTCCGAGGATCTGAGGCTCTGAGGGTTGTGTTTTATGCAGCCCTGACTCACCGCCGCTTAGGAGTCCTCCGCTCAGGTTGATATGAAAGCTTTTAAGATCCCCCGGGGGCTTCCGTTCCCAGGGATGCTAAATAGGGCCAGCACCGCATCGATCATATTCCCAGCAGGGCTGTTGGGAGGATTAATGTTTTAATACAGTAGCATAACAACACGATCTCCGGCTCCTTTAAGAAGGTGTTAATTACGTTAAAGGTTTCCTTTTCTGAGGTTGTACTTAGTTTTCTAATGATGATACGTGTCTCCTTCTAGGGTCTGAAATGTAAGTAGCGGGGTGTTCGTGCTTTCCCATAGAAAATGTGACATACAGACGCCCCCAACGCTAACCCACCTGGAGGGCTCCTCTCTGGCTCTCTGGGAAGCCAGTGAGCTGTTTTGCTGTGCAGGAAGGCCCTCCACGTGGCTTGGTCTGTGGCCGGGCTGGGGTGGGGATGCTCTGGGGAGAGAACCCCCTGACCTGGTTCTCTCTTCCCTTATCTGCCCGCCGCAGCGAGATAAAGCAGAAGCTGGACGAGGAGGGCAGCAAGTGCAGCATCCTCTCCAAGCACCGCAAGTTCGTGGAGCACTGCTGCATGCGCTGCTGCTCGCCCTTCACCTTCCTCGTCAACACCAAGCGCCGCTGCGGGGACTGCGCCTTCAACGTCTGCAAGAGCTGCTGCTCCTACCAGAAGCGCGAGAAGGTGTGGCTCTGCTCCGTCTGCCAGCAAGCCAGGTGAGTGGCCGGGCAGGCCCAGGGCGCCTCGTCTGGCACCATCCGTCTTCCTTCAGCCAGGGAGGGCGAGCAGCGATGGATGGGCACACAGTCCTGCGTGCAGTAGGTTACCCAGGTGAGGGGCCGCAAGGGTACTGTGTGAGCTGATATCACAGAGCGGACCACACTTCTCAACTTTCATTCATTCATTCATTCATTCCACAAGTATGTGTGGGAGTCTTAGGAATGATGCTGAACCCAGAAACCATGATTTGAGCTCCATTCCAGTTTTTCTATGTTATTCAAGTTCATCGTCAGAACCTGTCCGCTTTTGGGGAGAGGGGCGATAATTTGAAATGCATGAATGTTGCAGTGCTGCACCCAGCTGGTTGGGTGCGTCGCGCACAGCACTTGACTCAAATGTCCATGAGGGCACCATGGTGCTGCCCAACCCGTGGTGGGTGCCTCACGGACAGGGACTGTCCCTGTCTTACTCAGCTCCATGTGTAGCACCGTACATAGCCTGGCATGTATCGAAAGGCACCCACATCTTCGGGCCTGAATACTAGGCCAGGGCAGTGTTCGATAGTAGCCAAATGCAGGATATGAAGGAGGGTTCAGGAATTTTAAAGAGAAAAGGATCCAGAGAGTGTTGGAGTGTCCTGAAGAGGTATCATGAAGAGGAGGGGACCCTGGGTGGAGCTCAGAGAGGAGGAACCACAGGGCATTCTTGGACAAGGGGCAGCATGAGCAGAGACCACAGCTCCCCGGGGTGTGGAAAAGGCCTGGAGCAGACCCTTGCGGAGGCATGGAGAGTTGGTCAGTTTGTGTGAAGAATCGGGGTTTGTTCCTCAGGGGGTTATGAAATCATTGAAAGTAGCAGTTGAAAACCATCAGAATAGCAGTTTTTAAGATACGCTGTTCTTTCCTGTCCTTCAATATATCCACCCCCCACACAGAGGCATAGCAGTACCGACATAATTTTGTTTCTTTTGGTTTTTCTCTGTTCCTCTCCTCTGTGGCTCACACAAATCTCCAAATGTACTAAGCAGCCAATAGCCGTAAGCATACAGTCACATCCTCTCCACCCCACATCCACCCTGAGTCACATGAGTTTATTATCAGTTACAATTAAGTGACACATCGCTGTCACGAAAGAGCAGAATTGCTGAGTGACGGGTGCACGAACTCAGGCACATCACTTACAAATGGAAGAATGTGGCCCCAGAAGCCAGCCTTCTGATTCCCATCCTGTGCTGCTTTCTTCCCAGAAGGCTGTCTCAAGGAGCAGCCAGTTATTGAAAAACAAGTTGTCAAAGGACAGCACATGGCTCCTAAGGCTACATTTTAAATGTCCATTTCACATTCCTATCATTTCCTGAGGAGGCAGGAGGCTCAGGGAATCCTGCGGAATAGTGCTGTGTTATTTCAGTGTAAACACTCCACGGCAGTTCCCCGAGTCTCAGAGGCGGACACTGGAACATAATGGACCACACATAGCAGGATGCCTGGAAAGACATCCAAAACACGAATGTACATTTGTTCCGATTATTCTAAGAAAAGGGACGGTCAATGAGGAGTCTTCCATGTTCCGCATGTCTAACGTAGTTAGGACACACCAAGGTGGTTTAATCGGAATTGGCAGAAAGAAGTTGCTGAGGAGAAGCTGGAATTTTGCTCTTTTCATCTTGAATGATGTCTGGTGGAGGCATCTCAGGAGTCTTGGGATTGTTATTTTCTGAAATCAAAGGGGATGGGAAATTTGGGTTCATTTCCGGTTTTTCTGTTATTCAAGTTCATCATCAGAACCTAGGAAAGAAGTTCCTAGGATACATGTGGTAAGTTTTTGCTTCTGGACATTTCTCTTGAAACTGATAGAGAAGAATGTCCAGGTCAGAGTACCTCAGTCTGACCGGTTTTTACACTTTGCAGGATGTCTAGATAAGTCCATTTGATGTGTATAGTAACAAGCTGTCCAACCCCCAGCATTACACAAGCATGTAAGGCATATTTTGACTTGAATCAAGTATGGAAATTTCCAGATAAATAACTTTAAAAACTTTCACAGTTTTTGAAACAAAACAACAACAACAACACAGTTTACAACAGATGGTTTAGACTTTAAATACTGATCTTCTGTAGAAAAAAAATGGTCTCATGCGGGGGGATTGTGTTATGGGGCACTCCGTACCGCCATCCACTGTGTCCATCAGACTCTCTGCCCCTCGTGCAATCTGCAATTCGCCTCTTGCTTTAGAAGTGATTTACTTCAGGTTTCAGTCTTCGGAACATCCTCTGAGCATATTCAAATCCAAGCAGTTGGATTTAAAACATTGTATACATCAGATTCCACAAAGAACCCAGTGTGCGTGTGCATGTGCGTGTGCATGTGCGTGTGCGTGTGCAGCCTCCATGAAACGGTAGAAAGCGGTTTTGAGAAGATGCAGAGATGACCACTTTAGTGAGGTCACTTTAAGAACCAAGTTCCCTCTCCATAGCCCACGATGTACTTTTCCTTTCCCAGGAGAATCAATCCCATGTTTGCTGCATTAATTTCATCTCTAGCGGTTTATCCCATGGCTACCATATGCATGGTTTTTGAGATACCGTGGAACCATGAATAATTATAATAATAAAAATGTTTGTCCACAAATAACTAAGGAGCGAGGAATTGAGGGTAGATGTTCCTGGGAAAATATTAACAAGTTGCATCAGAAGTAAGTAACTGTGTGAGGCCCCGAGGCTTGCCTCTGTGTAGCTCTAACTGAGAGACTTGCATTGGAAACGTGGGGTTCATCAGGGACTCAGGGCCTAGTCACTGTCACTGCAGCTTTCTTTCTTTCCATCTCAATGAAAAAGAGCCATATGTCTTAGTGTTCTGTTTGGTTATTTATCAAAGAACTTTTATTTTAAATGAAAATTCCCTTTTCTTGGTCGTTGCTGAAATTATGATCAATTCTTTTGCTCTATATGTTTTGCATTAAAATAGGTTTCTGTTGTTAGTGTCAGTTTAAAATTTTTAACCTGGGGGAATTAACAAACACATGAATTTATTATGGAATGAATGATGGATTACTTTTTTTAAAAAATGTATTTTTATTGAGTTTTAGAGAGAAAGGAGGTAGAGGGATAGAAACATCAATGAGAGAGGAAGACATCAATTGGCTGCCTCCTGCAAGGTCTCCACCAGGGATTGAGCCCCCAACTCCGGGCATGTGCCTTGATTGGGAATTGAACTGGTGACCTCTTGGTTCCTGGGTTGATGCTCAACTGCCGAGCCACATCAGCAGGCTGTTTTTGTGTGTTTTTTAAAAAAAGTATATTTTTATTGATTTCAAAGAGGAAGGGAGAGGGAGAGAGAGATAAAAACATCAAAGATGAGAGAGAATCATTTATTGGCTGCCTCCTGCACACCTCCTACTGAGGATCAAGCCCGCACCCTGAGCATGTGCCTTTGCCCGGAATTGAATCTGGGACCCTTCAGTCTGCAGGACAACATTCTATCCACTGAACCAAACCAGTTATGGCTGGATGACTTTTTTAGAAGTTATAGAATCAATGGGATATTCTGAATCATCATCTTTGTCATTTTTTTTGTTATACATAAATTTATGTTCTTGACCACTTACTATACATATTCTTTCAAACATTGTGTAAGTAAGGACATGTGGTAGTTGCATTTTGAGGTCTTCTGCAGGAAATCATGCTTTCAGAGTGAGCTCAGCCCATACATCTCAACCATTATTATTTTGGGTCAAATGGATTCAAGAACAATGTCTCTAATTTCCTCGGGAACAAACTGTCTTTCTAGTTCTTTGCTTTATTATAAAAATGGTTCTCTCTGATTTTTATCATTTTGTGCTATTACCTTTAACACAGACTGGTTTGGGAGATTGTTTTCAGGGACTGAAAGAAAAAAATTATTCTTGGAACTGAAATCAAAACACATCTCCTCATTATGCCTGTGTCATTCGCTTTGGTTTTTCTGAGACAACTTAAGACTTCATTTCTTTCCTCTTGGAGTTGGAATCTTGGATATCTGATCACTTATCTCTTGGTATTCACACAGCCCACATGATTCACAAATTTGTATAGTGCCCTTTTGGTATAAACTTCACAGTATGTTTTAGAGATACTCAATGGGTGTGCAATATCTCTAAACAGATATAACATTTAAAAATGATCACTATTGGATAAGGACATTTACAGGTTAACAAATATATTGGGAAATATTGAACCTCACTAAAAAGCAAGTTTGTGCTTCACGTAGTATATTTTCCTCATCAGTAATTTTTTTCTGTACTCATCACACAGATTGAAAAAGGCCTTCTCATTGCTGGTGAAGTCTAAGTGGCCATAACCTTTTAACCCAGCATGTATCAAGAGCCTGTAGTATGTCCAAACCCTTTTACTCTATAATTTCATTTTTGAAAACCTATATCTAAATAGGAAACAAATTATTTTTTAAGTGCTGTACAAAAATGGGTGACTTATTTATAATATAACAAAAAGATGAATGAATCTCAGAGGGAAAGCAGAGGTGAGGGTGGGAAGAGAGATTAACCAAAGAACTTATATGCATACTAGAGGTCCAGTGCATGACATTCGTGCACTGGGGGAGGAATGCCTGCCTGTACCCTTTATCAGTCCAGGAGCCCTCAGGGGGTGTCTGACTGATGGCTTGAGCCTAAGCCGTCAGTCAGACATCCTTAGTGCTGCTACGGAGAAGGGAGAGGCTCCTGCCACCAAGGCTGTGCCCACCAGCCATCAGCTCAGTTTATGGCTTAGTGGCACTCCTCCTGTGGGAGAGCATTGACTACCAGGGGGCAGCTCCTGCATTGAGAGTCTACCTCCTGGTGGTCAGTGCACATAATAGTCCTTGTACCATTTGGTTGATTTGCATATTACCCTTTTATTATATAGGAATATGCATAACCCATGGATACAGACAATAGTGTGGTGAAGGCCTGAAAGAGGGTGGAAGTGAGGTGGAGGGGGTCAGAGGGGAAAAGAGACATCTG